TTTTTTTTTCATTTTCCTTTCCCCCGTTTTTTTTTTTTTTTTTTTTTTTTTTTTTTTGGACTCATGCACTGGGACAAAGTAGCATCTCCATACAGGATAGACTGCTAGGGATTTCTGAAAGTAGCCTGTCGTGTTGACTACCCTGTGCCTAGTCCACGTAAATGGGGCCACATACCTAACAAAGTCTCTTTGGGAAACCCCGGCACACAGTCCGGTTATTTTCTAATGTCCAGGAATCTGGGCAGCTGGAATTCATGAGGCAGCAGAAGGGCAGACAAAACTGCAAAGGGCCAGAATGGCAACAGTGACCCCTGAATGCCTCTTATCACATGCCTGAGGTGCTCTCCTGCGGTGCTGCCAACCTCATCTTCCAGATAAAGGTGGAGATTTTCAGGCCATCACTGGAGCTCTCTTCAGTGCCTGACGGCTGCACCTTGGGCTGTGCTGGAACAAGTCGCTGCTGTGTTTCCAATGCTGTGAAGACCCAGTGTGTGCTGAGAGCAACTAGCTGCTGCTCTAACCAATTTGTATTGCTAGCATCAATGGCACAACCTGACCTCTTCACTTTACAGGTTCAAAATCATTTGCAGAAACAATGGCCGGACAGCACCCTCCTCTAATGCAGCTCAATTTTAAGAGGGCCAAGCACAAGTGTATCAATCTCTTCCCGTAGACACACCATGCTACAAATAACTTGGATGAAACTATACTGTTCCTATCTCCCCTCACCTCTCCTTCAACTGCTCAGTCTCCTCAGGTCTTCTAACACTGAGTCAAAAAGCTCTCAGGGTTTCAGCTCTTTGGTTAAGACCAAAGAAAATTCTTTAACCCCAGGGCCATGGAGCTGCTGGAGCCCCATCTGTATGCAGGAGTCGTAGACAAAACGCACAGCTCCAGTGATAATTGTACCCCAGCCTTGCAGGGCCTGGAGCCAAAGCCACCAGCTCCGTCTGCCCTGCACATGGAGCCAGCAAAGAGCTGCCCTCACGTCGGCCCCGCGAGCTCGACCCTCCTGGCGCCGGGACCGATGGCCCCGGTGCTGCCCTGAAAGGGCCTGTCCTCAGCTCAGAGCCAAACCCCAGCGCCCAGGCGGAAGCAGAGGTTATCAGAGTTTTCCCTGCAAAGATCAGAGAAACCAGCTAGAGAAAAACATCACCCAACTTCTCCCCGACTCTTTTTCCAGAGTCAGCTTTTTAGTTTGTTCGGAAAAGTCGTCAAGAAAGATAAATGAAATACTGTTTAACAAATCTATTTTTTGCTCGCTCTCAAGTGCCAATAGCAGCTGCCCGCACTGCCTCGCGCCGGGAGGCGACTGCAATAATGCGCACCCTCCTGTGGCAGCACCTCCACACTGCAGAGGCTACAAGAAACATCCAGCCGTGCAAAACGTACCTTATTTAGGGTGCTACTGGGGTCGCATACATTTCAGCAAAGACACAGAAGGAAACACACCAAAACGGTCAGTGGAAAAGCAGTATAGTATGTGGGAAGATACACCAGAAGACAATGAAATGCAGCACCTAAGAGACACTTCCTAATAATGGAAAAGATTACTCATAATATCCCCCATTTTTCCACAGAAATGAACCCTGAAGGGCTACATGCCTTGTCGCGCCTGGCACTTTTTGAGACACTCTCTCCAAGAGGCTTTGCTTGCTCAGCTCCGAGGTTTCCAATCCGAGCTGCGCTGCCGCTTGCTCCGCGGCCAGGCCTGGCGAGAGCAGGGAACTGCTCCAGGGACCTGCCGAGGGGCCCGAGAGCCCCTAAAAACGGGCGTCTGGCTCTTCGCTCCTTCCCTGCTGCCTCACGCTCTCTTCAGTCCTCCAAAACACCATCCTCCCCCGTATTTTCTCCAAACCCAAAGCACGCAGACCCTGCTCATCGCAGACACACGTGTTACTCGGCGCTGTCACTGATCTGCTCAGGCGTTCCTGGAGTTCTGCTCGTTTGGATCAGGCGCTTTCAAAGGCTGCAGAGCGAGCCTGAGAGCAAAGACGGAGGTACTGAACCTGTGAATGTGCATAAATGAGAACTGACATTTTCAGGTACCCTACATTTTCAGAAGAGGTTTAATGAATACCCAAAGCAATGACACAAATTTGCTGAATGTCCAACTGATAAAAATAGACAAAAACAACATATCTTGTTGATACAGCAACTGGAAGGAAGAATCTCATTTCAGATTAATCTGTGCCTCAGCACGGTTATCATGGAAAGGCTAGATTTAAACCCCTTAATTCACTTTGCGTAATTGTTCCATACAACTCTGTTATATTGTTGGATAGCAAACATAACTATTCACTACAGTTCTGTGATTTTAACACAAAAAGACCTATTTTCGCTTAACAGTATCTAGTAATTCAGTATTACATGCTTGTGCTAGCAGAGCTAAAAAAGTTTGGATCGAAGTGCCCCTTCTTAAACACCCCATGCCAGGGGCTAGTGGGGTAACCCTAGTGCTTCACCGGGACACAGCAAAAGGCAACAGGGAGGCAGCTCTAACCTAGGAGCTGCAAACACAAATCATAAACCTAAGGCACCACATGAGGCTCTGCACGATCCCTGATGGGGCTCTGGCTCCCATCTCCTCAAGGGGATTACTCAGAGCCTCCCTTCTACCTCCCTGAAGTCCTGAAGAAGACACAGGCTCCGGCTCCTGGGGCAGGTGTTGTCATCTGGCAACCGTATGGTGGCAGCTTCAGGTCTTTGGCAGCAGGCTGCAAATGCAGCCACGTTTGAGCTGTTCCCATTTGGGGACATCTGCTCCAGTGTAGCTGCCACTTTCTTTACTCAGATTTCTTATATTCTAGCATATGCAGAGAGAAGTTCATGCTCTCGTCTAGCATTTTTCATGCAAACAATCTGCAGACGGAATTCGTAGGAAAAGGCATATTTCTCACACGGGCAGTATTTCAAATAAATGCAGTATTAAGGTAAACATACTGTGCATGCAGAATTCATCAACATGATGCACACTGTTCAGAGGCTTTTTTGAGTTGTCCAAAAATGAATCTGGAAAGGGAGATGTTGTAAACACAGCTAAGAAGGTATTAGCTGTTGTTACAGACATCTGAAAGGGCTGCAAAACTCTTCCGACACTGCAGCAGAACTGATTGGGAACAGACCACTATATTTCACTGTCAGCATGGAAAACAGCAGCAGATCACTGGACAGTAGGTGGCCCTCTGAGGAATTAGTTTTACTGACACAACCCTGATTACTTACCCATTACCGACACTGTTTAGAAATGTAACTGTTGGTCAAAACACAAATGAAAAAAATGCACATAAACCATTCCATTAACTGGAATAAACCATTCCATTAACTAGAAGTGGTCAAAACACAAATGAAAAAAATGCATATAAACCATTCAATTAACTGGGAACTAAAGTTACTATTTATGATACTTCAAGGGCAGAAAGAAAAAAAAAAGACTTAATGAGAAAAGAAGACATTTGCTTGTAAAGCTGCTGTGGACAAACCCATAATTACTGAAAGAAATCTCATTTTCAGTGATAAAACAGAGACTGCAAAATCTTTTTTCAAAGTCTCCTGTGTCTGACACAGGACTTTTGGGTGACAGTTTGCTGCTCTGTCCTCTTGGAGAGGTGCAGCTCCTGCCTCCACTGAAACCAGCATCTCTCCTTCTCTTTCAGCAGTGCAGGAACAAGCTCTGACTTAGAGCTCCAATTTGTGGTACTAGAGCTCTTCCAAACTGGCTACCACTTCACACAGAGAGGTTTCCACATCTAGTATTTACAGTGCAGTCCAAGCCTTCATAGCTCATCAGAAAGAGTTGAAACTCAAAGGTCAGAAATACTTACTTCCACTAGGGATCAGGTCCCTATCCGGAATGAAGAGCTTATAGCCATAGTGCTTTTCCAGGACATCGGGCAGGATTTCAAGCGCAAACTGCTCCTCATCATTATTCTCACCATCTAAAGCATCAGGATCCACCTTGGTGTACGAAAGATATGCATCGTATTCCTTGTTGTCTGCAAGAAAACAACATCAGGCTCAGCCTTCTGTTTGCAAAAGCACTATCAAAAAGAGCACCGGGCACTTCTAGGATATTGTACTCTTTCTGGAAAAGACAGAGCACTTCCCAGCAAAATTGTTTCAGCAAAGGCACTAACATCCAGCCTAGCTTCCACAGAGACGATTTCTCTGATCCAGATGAAGGACCTCCTTTCAGCTCCCTGCTGCACATTAATTACTAACTCTACCCCGTGTGATGGCTTCGTGAGTGTGATACTGCTGCACATCTGCAAAAACCTGGGGCAAATCGCTGGTACCAGCGTGAAGCTGAAACTTTGCACAAAATTCTCTACAGGTATCAATAATGGAAGTTTTTACTTAAGCCTCAACTCCTGTGCTTCAGCGGTGCTACAACTGTGGGAATGTTTGGAGCTCTTGAAGAAAGAGAATAAATCCTTGCGTGTGTAACTGAAAACATGACGGGGCACATGACTCAGGTGAATACAGATCTTCAGAAAACAACCACCAAAACAAACGAACCAACCATGATTTTGGGGATCACTTGCCCCAGGCTACGCTGAAGCATTTGCGCCTGCCAAACCAGGAGCAAAGGGGGTGCAGAGAGGCCCATGCGATGCCCCATGCAGAGGTTCAGCTGGAAAGGGCAGCTTTCCTCCTCCTCTAGGACTTGCCCCCAGCTCTCTGCACCCAACAAGCAGAGCCAAGAGTCAGTGACCACGCTGGGAATGGAGGTGGCACCAGGAACGAGACTGGGGAATAAGAAATAGAGATTCACAAGACAGTAAGGGGTCTAAAGCCTTCACGGACGCCCCCTGCTAAACCCACACTGGGATCAGGCTGCCTTAGTAACATTTTTCTTTGTTATTCCCCTGCAGTAATGGAAAATAGTATTTTGGAAAAGTCAACCTTCAGCAATTCAGTCTCTAGGGAAGAGCACAGCTGCCATTATTTACAGAAAATGAAAAATCAAACAGCTAATGTTGTGAGAACAAAATTGCATGACTGTAGGATTGCTGAGCACCAATTATCCATAAAAAACATCACACAGGAAAGACAATTAAAGCAGTTAAAACTCATCAATACATTCTGATAAAAAGAAAAAAATAGGTAATCATAATACAATGCTTTCATGACCTTGCAAGGATGGTTACTTTCTTATTATTCTTCACACAAAGCCAGATCCAAGCAGGTCAAGGCAAGAGCAAGCATGTGCATAATTACACTCCTGGAAGAGGCAATCTGCCTAGTGGCAGGCGAGTCGGGCGCGAGGAGGTCCCCCTGCCTTGCTGCTATTTCTCTGGAATCAACAGCTTACTAAAAGGGCAGTTATTGATGGAAAAACGGCAGCAGAGCATAGCCACGTCCTAGCCCTGCCCGGCCTTTCACGGGCCTCACGTGCTCGTGGACACAAGGAGCCCTCCACACTTGCCCACCGCTGGCTCCGGACCCTTGGGTGCCGCCCAAGCTGCTGCCAGGTTCTAGGTGGCTTCCCTTAATCCTCAGTCTTGGCAAAACCTCTTCTCTAAAAACAAAGCCACGCAAGATGCAGGAAATGAATCACTTCCCCAACACCACTGACATACGGTATTTTTAGTAATAAGATAAAGCAAATCTGTTGAGTTTCAAATTTTCTGTTTTAAAGAAATATATGTGCAAATGAGACATGACTCTGCAACTGGATCTATACAGTTGACCCCTCATGGGAGCTGTGCATGTTCCTACCAAAGCCTACACAGCTACAAAGACCCCAAAGATCCTTGCACTTCAGAAACTTTCTGCCTCTGTGTTCCATTCTGCAGGATCAGAATAAAACACAAAGCTAGAATAGTGCTAAAACAACACACTGGAAAAATAAAAGGTTGTTTTCAAAACAAAGTCACTTGGTATAAACCCACGGAATTAGAGGCAAACTACTTCTAAAAATGCAGGATCTTACCTTTTACCTTCCCCTATGTGAGAATCAGATTAACTATCAATCAGAAATCAACAATTGGAGCTTTAGTATGAAAAAAATATATTTCTGTATTTTCTTATTTGCTCTTAAAAATGGAAAGAGAGGAAAATCCCTGACTTTTGTCCCTTCTTTTTACCCTTCCACCATCTAAAATCCCTTGGAGGACATTGTACCCATCCTCCAGAGTTCCCATGGGTTGTAGCAAAACTTTTTCACACCACATTCAATGAGTGCCTAGCAGAAAAGTTCATTATTTTTATAAAGGCAATAGTAACTGCAGAAAGCAAGAGGTCTGTGTAACTGCACATTGTTTTTGCACAATAGGGGAAGTGTGTTCCCTGCTCCATTTTCAAGCACAATATTAGTACTTTTAGATACACCATTCAAGACTGCTATGTGACTCAGGCACTGCAGTGGGCTATAAGTAGCAGCAACGTTTTAATATTCTACTTCAGATCTCTAGCAGATACCAATTATATGCACGTTAATAATATATTAATTACACTATAATATTAACGTATTCTGAATATACTAAATGACACAACGTGCCTGGATTTAGTTCATCACTACTTACTGCAGGCTCGTAGGAGCAAGAATGTGTTATATTCCTAGCAGCTGAATCTCCAATTGAAAAGCACATGTTTAGCTTTAGGCACAGAAACGATCATATGCTGCTGAAGCTGGCGGGTTGGAGGGAAAGACACCACGTGTTATTTTGAGACACTAGATTACCATTCAATTACTTTCAGATTCCCAGGTAACTGAGCCAACTAGTTAACTGCAATAGCAACTGTCCCTCATTAGCACAGCTAGCTGCTGGTCTGAACCACGCTCTCAGGAGCACGCGAGCTTGGGTAGACATGGCACTGTGCAACAGGAACGGAGTCACACGGGAGGAATTCCCCCGAGGAATCAGGTCACAAACCATATTCAAGTCTTTCTAGTAGACTGCTGAACATCTCTTACCATTGTAGCTTTCTTACAGCATGACAGACCCAGGGACACTTCAGCAAACAGACTCACGGATTTCCACAGGTTTTGGGACCCTAGTCTGTTGGGTGCTAGGTAGTTGGTACTTAACCTGGTGGCAATTTATCTTTTGGAATTCATTTCACTCCACAGGTTTCCTCACTTTGGGTCTCTGAAACCCTTCCATGGGGAATATTCAGTTCCCTGAGAGGCTGCTTACCGTCCGCTGCTTCGTCTCCTCCGAAGTTCTGTCGGTAGAACAGCATCAGCTCTATGTTGTAGCACTTGTAGATGGTCACAAGCAAAATAAGCAGAAGAAGGATGGCTCCCAATCCTCCAGCAAGCTCTATTTTGTAGATCAAATCTAAAATTGGCAAGAAAAAACAGAACGGTTATGAACTTTCCAGATTTTGATTGTTCTAGTCCATTGTACAATCCCACATACAATTGCACAACTTCCTGTTAGAACCACTGCAACGTTAAGGATGCCTGATTTTTGTTCATTACCTGTTATTTAACTTTACTGATTTACTTCTTCTACTGCCAGGCTGAAATTGCCATCCAGAATGCATTTGAGGCTATAATCATAATTCTTCTGCAAGGGAATTATGCAGTGATTTTACACTGAGGATTAATCAATCTTTAATGAGCTTGCAGAGTTTGACTGGATCTTGTCTTGGCAAAGTGCACCTAACGCTGCGCGCAGCACGTGAGAATAAATATACCAGACACACTCTACTCCATTTCTGAGACTCTAGTCCCACAAACTAATGTTAACTTTGCTTTTATATCAGTCAATGGGTTGATGTGACCCTGCCAAACCAGACTTGCAGCTGAATCACTGGAGAACTAATGGAGTATCTAGAGCACCCAAGATAACGTGAGAAGCCAGAAGCACAAATTGGGCTGCTAAGAGCTACATCGTTTGAGTTGTGATGGCTACAAACAGAGTTCTTGCATGCTTGTTTAATACACATTATATTTTAATGGGAACTGGCGCTAGTTAAAATCTCCTACTGGGATGCTCTTGCTAGGAAACATCACAAACAGTTTGTCTCAAAGTACTTCGCAAATTCACTCAAATGCAATTACCATCTTTTACAGCTGGGGAAACAGAGGCATAGCAAAGCGAAGCAACGTGCTCAAGGTCGTTCCGGAAGCCAGTGATGGACCAAGATAAAAAACATAAAACACCAGTCCGGTGCTCGACCGGACACGACACACCAACTGCCACAATATTGTTGCTTAGCCTGAAACGTCCTCTGAACACAATATTGCCAGTAACCCCACTTGGGGCATTGCATAGCCGTAAAAGATACAAGATGACAACAGCCTATATTAGTTTAGATAAGATGTCATGAAGATGTTTACTGCTCTGATAAATACAATGTGAAGATGTAAAAACTGTAATAGTAGAGAGACAAAGTTTTTGTGACCTTCACGCTTCTAAAACTTAGGTCAGAAAAAAAATTACTGGTATGTCATTCGTGTCATACTCAAGACAAAAAGAAAATTAGCTGTGTATCTTTTGGGGTTACTCTTGCCTTCCCATACCTTGTATTTCAATAATTAACATCAGATGTCAAGCTATTCCCAATTTACATTATCTCTGATGTCTGTCTGGTGAGGAGTCAGGGACTAATAGATGAAAAAGATTTATTATAAGAGCAATTTAATCTCTCTGAGAATACAGGGAATTCAAAGGACTTTTACACACTGCATGGAAAAGCTGGCATATGCACTTGACATAAATCTGGTCAAATAGACAGCAGAATTGGTTAAAACCATTTTTCAGTGAAAAAGCAACTTTTCATGTTGTACTGAAATTTTCCTCTTGGGAAATTGAGATTATTGCAAGATTGCCAGGCTAGAGAGAAAATGAAGAAGGGCATTTAATTGTGAACTGACCTATACACTTTGCAGAGAGTAAAGGTCCAAGGACAGAGCCTTCTGTATAGATTGTATTTATTACGTTGTATGGATTTGCTTTGGCCTTTCTAATACTCATCCTTGTGCCTCATAACTGTCCACACTTCCAGAATTAGGAAGGCAGAAGGCCAAGGCTTTGGGGCTTCTTATTTCTGTTGCACAGTGGAAGCAATGGAGAAAAGCCCCAAATGCTCAACTTGGGCACTGCCTCTGCTCAATGCCTTTCTCCTCAACTGGTTCTCACTGAAGTCAATGGGAAAGGCAGCTGAGTTGAACCCAGGGAAGGAGCTGAATGTGGACTATTGCCACCATAGTGACTAAGAATCCATAAGCAATCACATTCAGGTAGACTCCATTGTAAAGGAATGCAGAAGAATTCAGCCACAACACATTACATACAGGATTATGCTCTGAAATATTCAAAGTATTAGGTAAATACCTAAGAAGAACCAAATATGTTTTAGAAAGCTCCTCCTTACTAGTTAAAATATTGATATATAAAAAAAAAAACAAAACATGTTTCCTTAATGTCTTGAATAAAGGTAGTCTTGCTCAAATTAAGTGTTGAGCCAACCTCACTGTAACATTTACTTTGGTTTAAATGTACTGCTTTTTTCCATTAAGAGCGCAGATTGATTTTATTCAGCAGTGACAAGTTATTTGTGTCCCAGGACAGTTATTTTACTACTGTACTTAGACTCCTGTTAGAAAAATGCAGGGATCCTGGGCTGAGCTCCTGCCCGGAGTGAGCGGCTGGGGAGGCTTTTTTAGCTGACACCGTCACCTCAGCTCTGGGCGAGTGCATGGACAACATGGGAACATCCCTGGGTTCACAGCCTGTGTGTGTGCCCAGTGGAAATATTTCTGCTCTTTTGGTAAACTAACTTATAGCCAAGAATAACAGCAGAGACCTGGGCAGTTTATTAACTCTTCAGTTAATCTCCTGTGCCGATGGCTCTGTGGTTTCCCATTAATGTTGGGGTCCAAGTGCGCAATCCTTCCTCGCTTTCCTCACTGTTTTATAGCTTTTGTCCCTGCTAATATCCTGCATTTTCAAGAGATCACAATCAAATTTAAACGTCACCCTCCTTACAAACAGGAGAGGCTGTTGAACTAACCTGAGAACAGTAATGAGATCCTGTTCCACTGCTTACGATTTTATGTCACAGTCAAAACCAAGTGGTTTGCTTTGTGCTACAGATAATATGTCAGTACCGGTACTCCCGCTTCTAGAGTATCAAGGAAACACAATACAGGGTAATTCTCCATTGATTTGTAGCTCCCATTGCAATGTTTCCATTCCTGTTTCAGTTAAAAATCAAAATGCATGGCAACCATTTCCAGGTTTCAATTTAAACAGGAAATCTAGGAAGTTGGAGAAATAGGAGAACATCTGACCTCACTGCTGAGCTACATATTCTAAGAAAAGCACATTTTACCTCCCTCTGCCACACCATTACCTGTGGGCTGTTGTCCATCAACTCTAAGTCAAATTTGTAGGGTGTTTAGACTGAAATACTTGACTGACTTTATCAGTGAACTGATTCCAGGCAAGCACACCACCTGCAGAGCTTGTTCACTGGAGACTAAACAACAGCTCATGAAATTTCTCTACAAATGGTAAACTGAAGACATAGCCCAAAAGCCCTTAGCTCTGCTCAGCGCGCACACTTGTGAGAGGCCAGCAGGACCCCGGCCCCGGGCTCGGCAGCTGCCAGGGACGCGTCCTTCCCTGGGGGGCAAGAGCTCAGAAATAATAATAACAACAACAACAACAACAACAATAATAATAATAATGACCTTTCTTGCGCAGGAGGACGCTGGCGTGCTTCCGCCCGTTCCTGTTTTCCACGTGGCACGTATAGTTTGCCAGGTCTGCCTCTTCCACAGCATCAAAGATCAACGCCAGTTCCACTTCCTTCTCTCCGAGATGTTCTCTGATGAGTCTAGAAGGAAGGATACAGTCTTCTCAACTCAATTAAAGGAAGGAAGGAAGATACCTGAAAGAACCCTGACTTTTTTTTAAATACAAGATATGAAGTGTCCCAGGTCTCTTGTACTCCCAGAGAACTTAGAGGAAATTAAAGGTACCTGGAAGAAATTTAATAGAAGTAACTTTTGTGCTGTCCAACAGCCTCTTTTCTTTCTATGTTTGTACCAAGGAGCTGAACCAAGCACAGGAAGAGCATCAGTAAGTGCAGCAGTGGTCTCCAGCATGTAAATACTGGTATTAACCCCAGCTCCACTGCAATTAATATGCTAAAACAAGCGTCTCTCTTAAAATAGCAATAAGCCCTCACTTTCCAGAGAAGTAAATATGCACTACTAAGCCATAGCTGAGCAAATTATAAGGCAATATATTAAATCTTATCCTACGTTTTAATGCAGCCTGGAGAAGCTGCAGCAGAAGTTGTACTACTCTGTAGATATCTCATTTTGGGGACAAGATCCTGACTTGAAAAGGGGACAGTGGCAAGAACAAGAGCTCTTTGCTCTTTTGAGAGCGCAAAGAGGAAATGCAAAATCCTCTCTAAAGGAACTGAAAGCTCCAGCAATTTCAGGCCAGAGGTGCAGTCTCTTTATGTGAATATTGTGATGCAGACATTAAAAAGAATGCAAAGTAAACGCAAGCGTTTTCTGACGATGACTTAGGACTAAAAATAAAACACCCTATTCCCTCAAAAGACTATCAGTTGCTCAAGAAAGTTACTGCTTCTTTGAACAGGGAAATGTAACGTCAAGGATAATCTCCAGATCCATTTGATCCTGATTGCGTTCTGTTGCGTAACGTGCAAGGGGATAAACACCAACGCGCGACGTGCTCGAGCCACCGCCTGCGAACGCGCCGGGGCACGCGGCAGCGCGGCCAGAACGGCAGCTTCTACCCGGAAAAGAGAGCGCAGTGCACCGAGAGGCAAAAGAGTTATAAATAACATTAACAACACCAAAATAAGAAATGCTTTCTTCGGGTTGTTTAAAGGAAGTCAGAAGCAGGCAAGAAAGGGCCATTAATCCCAGTGCTGTTTGCACTGCACGGACACTGTTTCTCTGGGGGCAGTTAAACAACTTTTGCTAACAGCAGCAACCCCCAGACTTCTCTATTGCAAACCAAAGTTGTTTTGGGTGTTCAAAAAAATGCACCTTTTCTTATGGTCAGGGAATCATTTCACACAGCAAATGTGAATCTCTGCATTTAAATACAAACCAGAACGGAGGTGTTTGTGCATTGCACTTAAGAATCAAAAATCTAAGCATTTAAACTACTTATTTATGGTAAGACTTCATACAGCTTTTAAAGGCTTAGGCGGGCTGACAAAATCTCAAGACACAAAATAGAGTATCCCCAATGATTTATCCTCTTGCTATAGCTGAAAAAACTTGCAAAAAAACAAGTGCAAAAGCATTTTTTTTTAAAAAAGAACAAGCATATGTCTTGCTTTAGAAAAGGTTGAATTGCATCTTTTTTGCAAATTCACCCTCATTTATTCTCCACTTCTGCACTTTCTTATTCTGGCCCTGATTGCAAGTGCTGAAAATAATGCAAGAAATGCTGAATCTGTATCACTTCCGACCAGAACAGAAACTGCCCAAGAGACCCTGATCTGTTTGCAGACTCTAATTTTTAACTTGTGTTTCATCAGTCTAAATGCTTGAGAGTCTGATAAATCAATTCTCATTTAGCTATTAATATTCTATGTATATAGTGAAATATTTTGAACTTCAGAAAGTTTTTTTCTCTGTTGGTAAACAATATGTTCCATAAATTTTAGTCTAAAATCATGCTGTAGGAAACAAATAATGTCATTAGCAGGGAAGATATCTGGATGTTAATCTGGAGCACTTTGTGAATGTTCAAATTACCTTGTGGTCGCTACAATCGGCATATGGTAACAATCATGAAGACAAACTACAATTTAGGTAGAATAAGCTAGTATTGTGAATCTATTTTAAATAAAATAATCAACCCTTAACCTACATTTAAATAATATCTGATCATCTAAAGAAGCTGCTTTCATAAAAAGGAATATGAATTCATTTTTTTCCCCACTTATTTCCATGTTAATTGCAATCTCTACGAAGACAACTCCTTAAAACAGGCCTTATCATGCAAATACTAACAGATGCTTAAACTTCATGTTGGTAGCAAAGCGTGGGAAGCTCCCAGTGGGGTTAAATCTTTTATTTGTCTTTCTTTTTTCAAACCAATACTATCCAGCTTATGATCATTTAGTGTCACCAATAAATTCAGTCACCTAAAATTTTATAATATATATCCAAGCTTTAACTGATTGCGTTTTGCAGCTAGTCCAGAGAACACTGAGCACAGTATTTTGAGGGAAGAAAAGGAAAACAGTGTCAACGAGTTAGACCTCAAAGCTGCAACAATGTTCGTTCCATGTGCACAGATGAGGTTCTGTCCCTGTCAGGGTTGGTGGGAACTTTGCCAGTAACGTTACTAGCATATGTCAGTTCCCACAAGTTGAGAAGATGATGTCTCTTTTTCCTACTTTGATGGACAAACTGTAAGAGTAATTAGACCACTTAATGCATACATAAATTAATGGTGCTTGTCAACACCCAAACAGGATGAAAGGATAAAATGTGGGTGAAAAAAAATATATATTTTTTCTTTTTGCTCAAGCTGCAGCATTTTATTTGATCTAAAACAAAACATTTTATTTTGTCTAGGGGTTATTTATCACTTAAGGAAAATAGAATTAAAAAAGAAAGTGTCAAAAGTGTCATTTCAGACTAAAAATGTTTTCTTTGAAAAATGTCCAAACAGTGTTTCAGATTTTTCAATTACCTGTCATACTTTTCCCATTGTGTTTATGCATTAAGTGAACCTGAAGTTACAAACACTTCTCCTTTGAAATGATGTTTTCCTGGAATTCTCATGTTTGGTAAGATCATCTAAAGGCTCTAAGAAAGCTTCGCGTGGGTCTCTTTGCAGGATCAAGGCATTAACCCAAACTTTTACTATTCTGTATGTGAGTTGGGACTTAACAAAAGGCAAATTCCTATTCCTTAGATAGTTGAGGATCTGGACTGTTAACAGGGATGTGAACTTCAGTCATTACTTCAGAAATTGTTAACAATAGTCTGTAGATAGGAGATTATTAGCTTGCATGTGAGAACTCTCCCAAGAAAAGTAGCTCAAGTAACAACCCAGCACGGGGGCCTCCTGTCTCCATCGCTCCTCTGCATCCTGGTTCTCATCCTCTGCCTGTAAATTGTCTACAAATATAGCATAAGTTTTTCAGGAGAGGGCTGTCATTTCCCTACGTCTCTGCAAAGTACCGAGGACATCACATAGCAGTGATGATAACATCCTGCCTTCCTCCTTCAGCATCCTCTCCTAACAGCGCAGCCACATCTGCTCCGAGTATTCTGCACCCGTTCACTTGCGTGGATGAGAGAGTGCTGAATTAAGCAGCAAGAGGAGACAAAGCTGCAATTTAACAGGTCTCCATTCACTGCTACTCACACCTCTTGAATGAGTTAAACTATTTCCACTTAAAAATGAAGAAGGGAGAGAGGAGAAAAAAAAAAAGACAAACATACTCTTCAAGTAGAGCGTTATGAGGTATCTAAAAAGTGTTCTGCGGTGCCACCCAAAAACAGAAGCAACTCACAGGCAGACCGGACAGTAATATTTATTGCTGAAAATACTTCTTTGCTGTGGCAGAGAGATGGGGTTGAAATTTGCTCTGGGCTTCCTTGCTAACCAGGTGCAAGTGACAGCTCTGCGGGCAGGCTTGCGGGCTCATTCCTTGTTTAACAGCCTCGTTCAATTTACATGACATTTTTATTATTGCTGGGGAAAACTCACCTGTCAAGCAAAGTCTCCTTTGCCTTTTCCCCCTGTGAATTTCTAACATTTAGGGAGCTTGATTCAAGGGTAGTCAATGAGGCTGCTGAGAGAGATGTCCATCATCTGTGCCCTGCAATGCTGATTAGTTGCTTTTTGTTACGAGGCTCTCTAACAAAGCCTAATAAACAACCATAAACCCGGGGCTGCACATATTATTTATTGTCAAGCGTATTTACCAAAACTAACAGCTCCATGGCTTTGATTTTAACAGCAATGCTCAAGTCTATGTACCCTTATTTGAGCGCTTTCATGAAAGCACAGATTAATTGTCTTGTAAATAAGTAATGGGTGATTTAGATCCCTACAATGCATTAGTGTGCAAACTTGCTCCCTCCCCAAGCACAGAAAATCCAGGGACACAAGGGATGGATACAGTCCAGGGCAAGGACAGCACCAAAAAGTCAGATGTCTACCATCAAATTCACATAACAACTGCAGGCAGGGGATGTAAAGTGAAGATATTAAACACTCATCAAAGGAAGAGTTTTGGTCCAGTGGTAACCATCCTCAATTACGTAAAATTTCTCTGCATTAACGGAAGTGTGTGGATAGCACCATATAGAAGCAAAGTGACAAGGAAAGCGTCTAACTGGCAAGCTCATTGTGGCATCAAGCTTACAACAGCCATGATATTTTTTGAAATAGCCCAACAAATAAGACTGGATGGAAGACGCGGACTGGTTGAGGTGCTGAGAGAACAGTTAGTGCTGCTTAGCTTTGTGAAGACCATGTACCTATAATGGAATGCCTAAGTGAGAGCTGTCACTGGGAAAAGTAATTTGCAAAAAGTTCCTACTGCAGTTGCCATAGCTACTTTTAAATCAAAGAAGGGATGGCCTCTCGTAGTGCTGGTAATGATGCTGCAGGCTTTGGTAAATGCTGTGCTTTTAATGCTGGCTGTGATGCAGGAGATGGGCTATGTGTTAAGTAGCTTTACTGAAGTCTCACTGAATTGTGAGGGATCTATAAACTGAGTCAGAGCATTTTAGTGGGAAGAGGAAAGAGTTGCAACATGATTTGAATCAAGAACATGCAATGAAATGGGGCAAAGACATATAGGAACAACCTTTTCAAACTCTGGTTTCACTCACAGAAATGCACATAAAAGACCAGTTTGGAAGGTCTTTAAATTCAAACTTCAAATTGTCCTTCTGATGTGAAGGAGGAATGTGACCAAAATCACTCTGTTCATATAATGCGTCAAATGCTCATTACTTGCAATGACAGAAGTTTCCAATAATTGTTTTCTGTGTCAGAAGCCCAGAAGGGGATTGTACACTTAAAGCCCTCTGAAAATAAATGATAAACTTTGTATGCAATTATGAAGCAATGCTGGACCAGCTAGTTTATTTTAATAACTAGTGGTTATTGCTAGTGGTTATTATGGACTGAATTCCAATTACTGATCACACAATAAAGGAATCTTTTCTCTGCCTGGTCCCCAAAATTACTTTTAGAATAAAAGAAAAACTCTGAAGTTACATCAAGAGTGAGCAATGAAACATGTAAAGACTTTGTTTTTCTTTATGATCTATGTTCTTCATCTATGTGTGGGAGCTGGGACCACCTTGTCCATTCTCTAATACTAGCTTAGTCCTTGCCCAAAGAGCTATTGATCTAGTAATTATTTATCAGGGGAGATGAGAAGATCCTGTCAGGTACAAAATTCATGAACTTTCATGGGGATATAAGTATTTTTTTTCATTACAGCATATGCAAATTGGCATCTGGAACAAGCCAAGTGCAAGCTGGACATCAGATGCCCAAATACAGGGTCTTTTTTTCCTCCCTTAAATGCAAGGGTGGAGGAAAAATGCTACTGTCCTTAGAAAGTCCTGGTTAAGCCCATATTGAAAACCATGTCACGGGTAACCAATACATTTAGCAGAAAAAAAGTACGGGCACTTGACAGGGGACTATTCATCTTTAACAGTGATGCTGAAATTAATGACATCTTGCCAAAGGCTGCCCCGAGGGGCAGTGGCCAGCAGCAATTCCACATGAGGATCAAATCACCCCCAAAATGGTTGGAGACACGGCAGCATGGGGATTTAGTGATGGATTCTCAGAAGCATGGACAGCAACTACTCCAGAGGTTATCCCCTAGAAGCTCCCACTGCCCTGCTTCCATGTCATTCATCACTTGTTAGACAGCTCATATGAAAAGCCCGTTTAAAATAAAGCAGCCTTTTGCGACATACCATATACTTAAGAGGAAATACTCCAGAAAGTACCTGACTTCGCCTTCTCTAATGTGACCTTCTAATTCTTCAATGAATTTTTCCCCTTTCATCCAGTAGATCATGGGCCCCGATTCTCCGCTGAATCCAAAGAAGGCTCTGCAGGCCACGCTCAGCGGGTTGCCTGAGGACAACAACCAGAGCAGGGGTTAGAGACATTGGCAGGGCTGCTGAGGAGAGAAGGATTACAACAATTCTCAACGCTTTATCTGAAATTCTCCACTTAAAATAAAAAAAAAAAGTAAAAACAAAAAAGGAGAGTAACTATAAACCATAGGAAAAAGGATGATGTGGATTTGATTTTGCAGGAAACCGCTGTGGAATCAAACTGAGGTTATGCATCATTTCATGAGCAGTGAAGGCTCACATCACATTGGCTGTTAAAAAGACTCGTGGGAGCTCCACCAGGATTGCAGAGTGCCCTGGAGAGGCAGGGATTTCACTGAACTTACTTGCAGCTGTCTATCCACCTGTAAAAAAGACATTGTATTAATATCTTTCTCACTTAAATAGAAAACAAATATTAATGAAGTATTAGTAAGCTACTCAGAGGGCTTCTGAAGACCTCCAATGAGTAAGAGGTGTCAGTGAGCACCCAACACCACTCGTGTTGCTTTCAACACCTTCTGGCAAAGGCCCAAACTTCAAAGCACTGCTCAAGTAATAGTGCAAAGAGCTCTCCCCTCCAGCTCTTCAAAAATATTCCAAAAAAAGAAAATAAAAATTGGAAACTAGATCTGATTTCTCTCCAAGTGTTCAGTGTTTGGATGGTTTCTGTTTGGCTAGGACTTTAGCTAGCTAGTCAAACACTCTGCAATGCTTAGGCTGCCAGGACAGATGGTCGTCTGCCTGCAGAAGAAAGACAAAAAGCCCCAAATGAAGCCTGGACTTCGGGAGATCCATGTCCATTCCCCAAGTACTCAAATACAGCTGCTGCACCCACTTCTCTTCGCCCCCTTTACAGGGCACAGGTCACAAAGTAGCTATGAAGCTACCAGCTTATACGGAGGCCAGGCCTCATCTAATGGCAACGAAGCCTCCTACGCATCTTCCAGGATTGGAATCAAATACAGAGAGTCCAAATAACGGACTACAGTATATTTGGAAGAAATGGTTTTTTATGCTATTCACTCACAGTGCTGGCAGGAGACTTTTTTGACATTGAAATAGAGGAGGCCTCTACTTTTCAGGAAGGGCAGGTCACTTTGAGCACACTGCTTGGTTGAGCATGAGCTAACAGACTCTCTACACCTTTAGCTGTTACCTCTTGTGTGACAGTGACAACTGACTGGGTGTGCATCAGAGCTGTAAGCTAAAACGTCTTTGCCTAACCCCCTAAAGCTGTGCTCGCTGTTGTCTGTCCATAATTTCAGTGTCCAGCATAAGGCTTGTCAAAAAAGACTGAAAATCCAGGATGTGGAACATCCCAGCAAGCACCCCAGCCACTGAAAATCTGCTGCCCTTCAATCGTTTTCAAGAGGCCAAATTGCAGGTCTTTCTCAAACATCAGTGTGCAGCAAGAAAAGAAAGTTTTATTACTGTACTACAGTTAAACTACGTTTCTCAAAAAAAAAAAAAAAAAAAGGCAAAAGACAAAAATGGAAAGTAAATCAGAATATTTGCCCTGAAAACGTTTTACAATATCATTCATTATCTCCATATTCACATGAACTCTGCTACCACAGCTGGCCTCTGACCACGTGCTGGTGCTTACAGATTACACACGACCAGCTCAAATGCTCAGCAGACACAAAAGGCTGGACAAGCACCGCTCTGCACGTCTCACAGCCCTGATGTTTTGAGCTTCACCAGCTGATGGAGAACCCAGCAACATTTCCAGGCAAACACTTAATTGCACCACAAGACACCCTCAGAGAAGCTGGTTTTATTCTGGTGCCTCTCACGCTCACGGGGATGGGGTTGGCCCCACGAGGCGCTGGCGCCTCCCTGGGCCAAGGGGACAATTTGGGCCTCTGGCTCCATCCATCTCACATTTTTGCGACCTGCCCAACGCCAGGTGCGAGGTCTTTTGTGCTGCCTGCCTCAGGGTCATGATATGTGTCTATTTAAATGCCACTTAGTGACTCCTAGCATGTGGCTGCTCAGCCCATGCTTGATTTTAATGGAAAAAGACAGTTATAGCAACGTGAAAAAGAAAAAGGCTAGATATGGCCTATCAGCAATGACAGTATATGCCCTTTCCTTGGCAAACCATGCTGGGCATTAAGCGTTACAGGCAGAGTATTTTGCAGGGTGTGTTATTTTTCCTCAAAACAGCTATTTTTACTCAAAATAAAAAAAATGAAGAAACAAAAATATTCTAAAGTGAGTCTAAGATTTCTATACATGCAGTGTACATAGCCTGAGGTGGTATGTTTGGTCTGAAGAAATAAAAACATTTCTGTACAAACAGGAAGAGCTAAAGAATCGCTGTTGGTACAGAGCTTCTGGAGCCAACAAAGGCAGGACGGGGCTGGGGAGGAAGCGTCACTGAACGGGCTGGGTGTCCTGGACCTGTCCGTGCAGATCTGCTTCCCAGCTCTGCCCCCAGGGACAACCTGCAGAATAAAGTGATTTAACCAAGGGGACTGGCAACACCTGAATAAACCCACGGTCCATCTCGTCTGCTAACCCATCACCCAGCACAAAAAGGCCTAAGCAATTGTATCACACAGAACAACACATTTTTATCTTGGTAGCAGAACGATGCTTGTTTTGGGTTCAGCTGATCCATCCTTAGGCAGAAACAATCACAGAATGACTAAGGTTGGAGGGGGCCTTTGGAGATCACCTAGACCAGCCCCCTGGGCAAGCAGGACCGCCTAGAACGTGTTGCACAGGATCACGTGCAAGAATGGCTTGATGACACCTCAAGATCCCATCCAAATGCAAACTCCCACACACTGCTCTTCCCTTCCCCAAGCTCAGGCAAGATACCTGTGCTACAAAAGAGCTAGGAGGTTGCCTACTCCTGCCACGCTAAGACAGCTGTCTGCAACCTGCTTCCCTGATTTTCAGGGAATTCCATCCAATTCCTACCCAGCAGTGCAGAGAAACAGGGCACATCTTGAATTTCACCCCAAGCAAGGCAATGCTAACACTGAGGCCAAACACTGAGGCTAACACTGAGGCCCCAATTCCTGAACATTCCCAGGAATATGGGGAAGGAATAGGCACCCAGCAGGGAATGTGCCCACTGCAGGGCCCGCCTGGGGGTGCCTCCAATCCAAGCCAGGCTATACCGAGGTGGCATCCCAGGCCAAAGGAATTAGCAGGCACTTTGCAACCCTGACGAGTCATCCCAAGCGCGGCCCAACCTTCCTGACACCGTCACTGCTGTTCTGCACTCCACTATCAACTGCTCCAGTTAAGAAAAACTCCCCTTGCATCATCTAATTAAAAACATCCAAGTTCCAAGAACATATGGTATCTTGAAAGTTTCCCATTTATAAAAGGCTTCTATTTAAATCAGAGACATTTCAGACGCTTTTTTAATTAACAAAATAATTTGCTGAAAACTACAGAAAATGACTAGAGATTTGCAGTGAATCAACAGCTAACGGAATGCCTGAAGAAACACGGAGCGACAGGAGAAAAGCCTCCTTGTAGACACCCCTGGTCGTGCTGCTTCACTGGGGTCACCTTGCTGCTGTAAAGCCTCAGGATCCACACAGAAGCCTCTACTTGAGCTTTTTCCCCTTATTCTCTCCATTAGACAGGCTTGTTGCAAACTTCCAGCTGATACGACACAACCACTGGCGACAGAAATGATTTTTATGGATAAATCTTACTGTAAAATTTTCATCTGACCTTTTTCCACAATACATGTGTGTTGAACTCTATGATATATTTGAACATTTTTCTTTTCCTAAAGAAGAGGATTACAGAAATGCAACTATTCAAGCAAAACAGCTGCCTGCTGGGGGTAGGAGTCCTGGCTAAGGGTGGAAAAAGGGGCTGCAAAATAATGCAGCAGGGCACGACTCTGCTCACCACGGCCTTGATGTGCCTCGAGAGGGAATGACAAACGCTTTCTGCAGCGAGGCACACGCCGAGCAGCGAGTAAATGAAGCTTAAAACCCCCAAAGTTGTTCCATCCTTTAAAAACTTAAATGTCAAGGCTGAACGACTGACCAGCTAGAAAACAAAAGCTGTTCGCAGACTGTAAGACCTGTCCTATGTCAAAGTGATTCTTCAGAGATTTCTTTGAAAATTGCTAGCCCCATTCAAGGGTGCAACACATTTCACATTCCCACACGTCTACACTCTGCTGGTGCTTTCTTCTTCCAGCAAATCAGGCTTTCATTCCTGGAGCAAATTACCTCAATTGAAAGGTCATCAAAGCCATTTGCGGATCGTTCTTTCATTTTTCTATAGCTTGAAACATCTTTTTCACTTTTTTTTTTTTTTTTAAACATTCTTTTACCCCATCCACCCGCACTCACAGTGAGCCTGAGCAATACATTGGCATCTCCCTGCATGGAAGGTCCAGGCTGTTACTCATCAGAGCTCAGGGCAATTGTTTATTTCTTAAGAAACTCAAAGAAATAATTACAGGAATAAAAGATAGTCATAACACCATCCCTGCCTCCATTCTCCCAATCCCATCCTGACTGCCCAAATTAGACAGCAGCAGTAGGAAGGGCTGCACAGTTATGCCCAGAGCATCGCCAGACCTCTCTGGTGGCAATAAGAATCCTTTGAATCTCACTGCTCCCCCCTCTTTGCTTCCTTTCACTGAACTCTAAAAACACCTAACTCGCACCATGTATTTCGAAAGACTCCATCAACTGCTGTCAATAAAGTGTTTTTCTGACAAGACCTGCCACATCCTTAAGGGAGAGAGCTCTTCTGTGGCTCCCCAAGAAATGAAGAGCAAGGAAACGTGAAGGGGCTTTATGAATCAGAGAGGGGGACAGGTTTAGGGACTACATGGCACTGCCTACGCTCAAGCTCTGCTGCAGCTGTTGATTCAGGCCCATAGGGATTAACGTAGTGTGGAAACAATTATCAGAAAGTTAAGCACACGAGGTCGTGGTTGGTGTCTTCAGTGCTGTGAAACCAGGCTAGAAGCTTGATATTCTGTGACCTGTCCTGTCACGGACACCACTGTATGGGTGCCTACAAAGAGGGAAGGGGACTCAGGGCCCAGCTGGTCCTCCCAAGCCAGAGACAGAAGTAACTCCAAGTGCCAAAGCAGTACCAGCTGGAGAACACTCCAGTGCAAAGGGGAACATCTCCCTCTGTAACAAGCGAGATCCACTTGTTTCTACATACTCTCCCACCCGGATTTGTATCTCCACCTCCATTAACAGCACTGACTGCAATGCCAATGCTTTTATGTATTCTGGGGCAGGATGCTGTACACGTGTGGCAGGGAAGATGAGCACATCCCGTCACTCCAAGTCTTCCTTATCGATGCATATGAATCTTGTAGCTCCCAGCTGATGATGGTGCTTGTGTCTTTTTCCCTGAAGGCTGATAGAGAGGAGTGTTTCTTCCTGCTCCTGACACATGCAGATGCTACACAGACACTTCCCAGGCCTTGTTTCTTTTGCTTGCTGAGGCAGAGGACAAGGAAGGCAGGTTACTTATCACATCTCAATAAGCGCATTCGACTGGCCGGCTGCAGGATCGAACCTGCTTCCTCAGGCTGTGAGGTTTGCAAGGCAAATCATGCTGTCACTGACAAGAACATTATTGCTCTAATGTGCTCTACAAGTGCTAGAAACTGGCCAAAGAGCAGCACATTGATTTAAATTCTTCTGGCAAGGCAGGCTGGATTGTATACAACCGTGAAGTAAAGAACACGTTTCCTGTTTCTTCCGAAGGACATCCTGGATAAGGAGATACGGGAGACAGAGCTTATGCCTGCAATTTATCGACAAAATAAATGCCAGGGGCAACGCAGACCTTGACTCATGAAAAACAATCTCTGTGTGTGGTAGCGTCTATCCAGCTTGCAGAAAAGGGAATTTTTCTCTAAGTCCCTTGCAAGACAAGGACATCCTCTCGCTGTTCTTTTAGGCTCGGCAATGCCGGGCAGCCCCAGCCAAACCTTCCCGGGATGGGGGCAAAGGAGCCTCACGCTGCCGGGGCCCCGAGCTGGCAAAGGTCTGTGCTGAGCTGCTGCCACGGGTGCCAGGACAGCAGTGGGGACACTCGAGGCCCCTCTTGCAACCCGAGAGCAAACGCCGTGGCTGAGCTGCGCATCCTTGGACCAGCACCTGTACCCAGCATGTCCTGAACAAGGCAGGTTGACATTGCACTTGTCAAGTTCATAAGGTCACCTTTAAAAGTTTCAGTTAGTCAAAGGTTCAGGTACACAATCAAGGTGCCTGCAATCATTATTCCAGAACATTCATGTTACTTTAAAAGAGGATTTCACAATTTTGCTGTTCCAGAATCAGGTAATTTCTCTTCATTCAGAGACCTCCCATCACATCCATGCCAGGGTCAAATCCTGAAGGATGCTGCAGCTGCCAATCCAGCCCTACAGAGCTACCTGGTACCTCTCGGGATCTGTCCCCTGTGGTTCAACATCATCAGCTTGATTGAAAAAAATCACTGCTCACCCCTTCATCCTGGGCTAACGCGGTGAGCAATAAATACCAATGTAGAAAAGTTTGGTGTTAAACGAGGGAGGCTGTAACCTCTAGAAATCAGGCAGCAGGACTGCCCTCCCGCAGCGTTGAACCCCGCGCTGGGATGCGCCGCCAGCAGAGCGCTCGTTTTGCCCGCACCAGAGCCAGCCTGCACGTCCTCACATGGTGCATCCACCCCGAAACAACTGCAATCCCAGGCACAAAAACGAGGAACGCAATAAATCAAGGTACTCCGCTAAGCAAACCACCAAGATGGGAGTACTGGCGCTGTGCTGTCTCCTTTACATTTCTCACTTTAAGTCATTTCTACTTACAGTCCTTGGTTCTGCTAGGTCTGTTCCCATCCTTTGGCTTTCCTTTCTTCTTAGTTCAATCTTGTCTCCCACTTGACGTTCCCACTTGAACTCCCACCACAACCACTTACGTCAACTTGCCCTCAACGCTCATGCTTGCCCTACAGATTTCGGGCCTCCTTCATTTCGGCACCCAGTCTGATTCTATCTTTTTTCCTCTCCTTGGCTCTGGACCTCCCCTGGACACGCTCACAGAAGCCTCCCCACGTTCCCTTCCTTCTTCTCAACCCCACGCTTGGTTCCATGGAGCAGAATGACTGGAGCAGACACTGGCCACCAACATGTCTTGAGACCAGCAGGAAATGATGGTCCCTATTAAGCGTCAATGCAACTACCTGCTTATTAGTTCTGCTTCACCTCAGACCCTTCCCAGATCTTCTAGATCTTCCCAGATCTTCTAGTCCTCTTCCTTCTTCTCAATCGCAACCCCACACCCTTCCTTTCAGGTTCATCTTCCTTTATTTTCCACTGTACTGCTTACAGTAAGAGCTTACAAGTTTCACTTGTCCTTGCTGGCAGCCCTAGCCAACAACTTATCTCCATGTAAAACCACCAGAATCAAATCAGGTCAGCCCTGAGTTCTGGTAAATTGTTCCAAGGCCTGGATAGAAATTGCATTTTTTTTGCTTCATCAGTCTGCACTGCCCAGTATGAAACCAGCTGCTCCAGGTCACGCAGAGGATGTTGCTAGGGCTCATCCAGAGCCCAAAAGGGAGGAATTCCTGGAGAAAGCGGGAGGCAGTTGGAAGCGGGAGCTGGGATGCGCTTGGGTTTTGCTCATGTCACCCCGCACATCCGATCACCTGCATTTCCTAGTCCTCTTGGCACCAGAGCAAGGGACTGCAGCACCACTTTGCAGCCCTTCCAGCATCTGTTCCTGTCACTTCCTACCGTAGCACTGCAAAATTTTTCACAGATTTGTCCACTACTGGATTTAGATACAGTTGAAAAAACAAACAGAAAAAAAAACAAATATACAATCAACCAAACAGCCCCCATCCACCTCAGGTACCTTACCAGCTCTCTGCCATTGTCCCCTGTCCATTCTGCAGCATGAGATGATCACGGCATCCTTGTTTTATTTGGTACAACAGGATTTACAAAGTCAGTGTTAGATAAGGTACCTGGGCTTCTTTTTTATTTTTTTCTGCCTATTTTACTTAATTTTTCTACAAAATACATAATTAGCTGTGAGTTAAATCATGTTACCTCCATGCAGACAAATGTCTGGTGAAATGCAGTGACTGTTTGGTCTGAGCATTATTGGACCCAGTGGAACCAATACACATACAAATCAAATTATTTAGTTGGCAAAAAATAAAAGTTAGAAAATCCTATATTGTTTCAATAATCTATTCTAGCAGCCAACAGATTTTAACCAGGATATGACTTCCAAACATTTGCATAATTAAACATCAGCCCAGGAATTAATGAACTGAAAGCATTTTAAACAAAATTAATACATAAAGAAACCTGCTTTACTTAGTGATAATAATTGCTTTAATAAGGTCAAATTATACTGAAATAGAATCTAACTAGCCTCTGGCCATTTCAAATCAGTTTAACAGCATTTAAAAATATACATAATTTCTCTTTTTTTTTTTTTCCTAAACTGCTTCATTCTCCAAATTTTTGCAAAGAAACAGTCTAAAGGAGGTGCTCTTCCCCTAAATACAACTGAGTGTTATGAACAGCATGTTTGCCACTAAAATGATATTTTGACAGCTGCACTGATATGTGGGGAAAATAAGTGGCAGTATGTGACATGTATTAAACTGGCTATTCACTCGTGTAAGAATTCTTTCACTAATGCAAGTCTCTGGCATTAAGAACTCAGTAAAAAACTCTGACAAGAAAAATGCAAAAGATTTTTAGGTCTTGTTTTGACCTCAGTAATTTATGACCTTAATTCTAACTTTCTTTTTGCTCTGCTCTTATTTCTTACGCCCCAAGACATCACATGGCCATGAGATATTTGTGCTCTTCTCGATGACTTAACTGAGCAAATGGCATATATAGAAAAAAGCAGGGAAAAACAACTAGCTAAAAGAAAGCTGCAAAACTCCAAACATGCAACAAAACCAGCTCCCACTCTAGACAAGTTGCTGGTAAGAACAGAGTCGGGGTATTTGCCATCCTTCCTTACAGCCTAACCCATTTCTAATTTCAAGAACAGAACCAAGCCCCGTGGAAACACTGCCTGCAGCCATGGCTATTGACCATGACTCTCACACAAAGAGAAAAACAAAACTTAACCACACATGAGGCTGAAATGTCGCTGATAAAAATTTATCAGATGTTCCAAGCTCCTGTTGGAAAACAACATTAAAAAAAAAATCAAAATCAAAATCAATCAAAGCAGAACCTCACAGAGCAACCCCCCCCTCCCCATCTCAATCATCTGAAATCCCATTTTCGACGCTGCCTTAGGGTGAGGGATTTCAAAGCCCTTAGTCACAGCGAGCTCAGGCAGAGCTGGCAGCTCCAGAGGGGACTGGAGCTTGGGCGGCGCTGATCGCAACGGGGACGGGTGCGCGGAGCGGTTCCCGCACGGCCGCGGAGGGCTGCGCGGCCCCGGCATCGCTTCGGAAACTGCCTTGGGTTCTTGTGGGCACTCATGTGCACAAATGTTATTGAAGAAAACAAACTTTTCTTAAACAAATACAAAAAAGATTTAGAGGAAAGCACGTCCTTGATGCTGCCAATCACACAGGCCAGGGGAGGGCGTGCTGGCTTTGGGTGCTGGCGCTTATGATGTTGCTCCAAACTTACCAAAAATGACACCTTGGACACCAAAAAACAAACGCCTCCTGGTACCTGCTTTGGACAGGACCTTGGAGAGGGCCACACAGGCTGGAAACAGTCCTGGAAAGTCTGCGTGGGCACGAGATTATGAGTGTGTGGGAAACTGTAACGGGCGAGGGCAGAGCCGGGGCCTCGGGCTGCCCCTGCCGTCAGGGGCATCCAAAGGCAAAGTCTCTCCCAGCGGGTTCCCGCTTGCTAGGGACGGGGGACCTTCGAGCCACAGCCTCTAAAGAAATTACACTAAACCTCGTGCAACTTTTATGTTCATTGATATTTAAACATGCAAACGATAGCGCTAACACGTTGTGATGAAGAGCATAAAATGGATATTCCTCCTTAGAAAAGAGGCAGCAAATGCAAACTTACACCTCATGCTGAGGATGTCCTGCCCTGTAAGTAAGACTGGGCTCTTGGAAATAAACACCCGCTGGGTCTAAAGCGGAGTCGGCTGCGTATTTTCATTCTCAGTTTTGTACTGAGACGTTAACAAAAAGCCTAATTCTCCCTAAACAGCATGCAAATAACTCCCTGGTGGGTTGCCGCAGGCATGTAAGGGTCTAGCAATAAATACTGCTCTGGCTAACAAGGTCCAGAAGATAATCTTGATGCTTTTCGATGCCATGAGTCATTTCCTGGCTCTGCTGACCAGTCATGCTCCCAACACGAGGCAGGAGAACAGAATGGGAAGGCTAAGAAAAGGTGGGAGATGCAAGAGGAGGCAACTGCTGCAACCCCTTTGATCCCAAACCTTTCTAGCCTTCCTGAAATAAGGTGCTGTGTCCTGCTCAGGGAGATGGAGAGCAGGATGTTGGCCACCCCGACAACGAACACGACCGCAACAGTCACCTGCTCAGCCTCGGCAATGCAGCTGGCTCTTATCCAGAGGGGACAGGGCTGGCCATGGTTCGTGCTAGGATGACGCACGTTCCCGCTTGCCCGGCATAAAAGGACCATCGAGGACAAAGCTACTGAGATCAGCTTGTGCTCAAACGAGAAGCAACAACTGACTGATGTGCTTAAAATTCAGCAAACGCCTGAACATTTTGCTGAATAGGGAGAGGTTTCCTTGCTGATTAAATTTGAGCAGGCATTTAAGTGTTATGCTGAGCCAGGGCAACAGTGAGACTTAAATAAAGGCTGTATATATTAAAAAAAGTAGAAAAGAAAATCTACAGCCACAAAGAATGACCTTTCTTCCAAGCCAACTCCAGGAAATAATTCCCATTTATTATTTACTTAGATTTAGAGATAACACATAAGGAGAGTAAGACGGTAAAACACAGTTCAATAGATACCATCTGTAATTTGCTCATTGCGCGAGTCAGTGTTATACTGCAGTTCCTCAGTAAAAACTTACAGGGAAGCTTAATCTCTTCTCGTTTGTCAGAATTAAAGAAAACATTTATTTCTCCTTACTGAAAAAAAGAAGTAATGGTAGAAAAAGTAAGTAGTGCAAAATTGACCTTTTTCCAAAAGACTGTCCATCAGGCTGAAAACACTCTCTAATAAACTCGAAGTAGTTTTACTTTTTTTTTTTTTCCCCTCTCTTTTTAATTCCCATCAGAACCCAGAGTTAAGGATCTTTTAACCAAGATATAAGACCTAACATTGGCAGGATACAAGAGTTTTGCAAGCAGTTAAAGATATAAGGGCCGTAAGAAATTTTATTAACTCAGGCGATTTCTTGAGTTATGCCTATTCCTTCCCAAGGGGATGCGGTGGCATCCCCTCGTGCTCAGTGACTTGAGACGTAATCTATCAGTTCAGGTATGTGCCATGCTGAAAATGGCTTTGTTTTTTTTCTCTTGACAGCTGTGGTTTGCAGAAGACAACAAGCGAATTGTCCTGACATTAACCACATATTAAATGTAATTTTAGTCACACAGAGGTCTAATAAAGCCGAGTTCCCCCTGGTAAGTAGCAAATCACAAAGTTCACAATGCAGAACTCCTCCGGTCTGTCCCAAAATTTTTTCTTTGCACAAATAGTCATAACATGGGAGGAGCACAGGCTCAGAGAAAAGCTTTGCAGCTCTTGATGGGATGTGGAAAGCAAATATAAGGGTGGGAGACCAGATCCTTTGCCCTAAAATTAAATGAAAAAAATAATGCAGACATTGATTGTGTCATAATGCAGGTCTGAGAGTCACATACCTGGCAAGGAATCAAGTCCTAAAAGATCACCTGTGGGTTAAAATTTGGCTACAGAGTCAATGTGGTTACAAGGGAACTTGCAAAAAAACAAGCAAACAAAAAATCCAAGTGCACATCTGACAACTTTTGGGGGCGAGGGACATCAGAGCTTACAGGAAGACGCTATGAGTCTGAACCACGCTGAGTAGAGAGAAGGTACACGCTGCAGATAGCTCTGCACGAACTCTTGGTCCGTTTGGGTGAGCTATTTTACTAGTTAACCCAGAGCAGCCTTCTGAGAATTGAGTTTGAAACCTACGTGGTTGGTCTAAAAAAAACATCTCAGCTGCCTCCCGAAGAGAAAGGCTTTGATTCCATGCAGTCCTGTAGCCCTAGGATGCCCCATCATGACCTGCCTACCAGGAGCGAGGTGCAGGATCTTACAAAACCCTTCCTGAGAGTAAAAAGCTTTCCTCTTCTTTAGAGCTTATCTCTTTTCTTAGCTGTGATTGCAGCAAGAAAGGAAAGAAGCTGCTCTCTGAAAGATCTAATATGAAAACATAACAATCTTGACACTGAAGTGTCTATTTGAGCTGTTTCTAGTGCTAGAAACTTTGCTGTGGCCTTCACATCTACAATAACCAGAGACAGCTGCAGACTTGTGCTTCTCTCTCTTGGGAAAGCTCCTGCTACCATCCAAAATGGAGCAAAACAGAGGAGGAGAGAAAAGCAACAAAAATCCCGCAGTGGTCCAGAATAGTTCAAGTCCCCAAATTTCTGCCACGCAGAACAGAAATGCTGACCCGTGTCCCACCGCGGCTTCCCGCCCCGGCGCTCGGAGGAGGTGGCACCCCAGGGGCTGGGTTGTTCGCTGCCTTGCGGCGCCTGTCGCATTCAACACTGCAGACATTCTTCTCCACGTCTTATTCTGCCAACTCCGATGAATATTAGAGGCAGAAAAGGCTGGGTAGCATTTTCCAACTATTGCACTGGGGACCAGCTTGTCTAAATAAATTTCCTTTACTTCTCTGTAAAAAGCAATATTATTTCCTTATCTGATTAATTCTTTCCTGGGCTAGGGCTCAGAAAAAGACATGAATTCAGTTCAGTTTGGCAGGAATTGTCTTGACTAAACTCTTCCTTCCCAAAGCCTGAGTCCACAACGTGACATCTGTGCTGCCTCGGTGATGCACAGCAAGCTTCTCTTCCCAATATGCTTTATATCTTGCTGTTTCACTGGGGGCCTCTAATATTTTGCCTTCTATGCAGCTGCATTTCATCCCTTTCATCACCCGAATTTGCCCCTGCTGAATTGCATGGCTGTGGGCAAGTTTCACTATCACTCATGCCACGGCAGCCAGGTGGGCTCTGCTCTGACGGAGAGTCTGCCTGCAGGGACCCAGGGCTGGATGAGGCATCGGGAAAGCGCTCCCACGTTGCACTACTCAAACCACAGGCAGGACTGACTCGAGAGCAGGGAGACATCTCCCTTTCAGGAGCAGCATTTGGGAGAGATGACCCCACAAAGGAGCGCTGAGGGAGCTTCAAGGAATCGAAGCACTAAACCTCAGTGTGGTTCAAGGCTTCCTGCGTATCCAGCAGGGATCCATGAGGGGACAGGCAATAACCTCCGCGGGAGGCGAAGCAGGGGACAACGCGACACGCAGCGTGCGCGCCCCTGACTGCAGCGCCCTGCACTTTGCTCGTGGTGTCGAGCCCTGTGCAGGCCGTGCAGGGCCCGGGCGACGGCGCTTTCCGCTCAGACAGAACCGCAGCGAAAGCCCAGGTGAGACGCGCTGCGAGGCGCCGACGAGCGGCACTGCCACCTCACGTGAGGCCACGCGCGCCCCCAGCGCCCAGGCAAGGGCCGTTTCGCAGACAGGAATTTCACATCTGACTAAACGGAGACAAGGTTTACGTACCTCCAGCGCAGGAGCGCGCGTGCCCCTCGCACGAGTCAGCTGGCCTGCCTTGAGCTACAGCTTTTCATTTCCCACCTTCAATCACCTCGAAACGCTGCCGGGAGGGTGGAGTGGGGAGACTTGACTACTCCAATCAAAAAAAATCTTACACCCCTCCCCATCCCCAGTATTTTTCAATGCACTAAACTTCTGGAAAAGTAGCTAATTACATTCTTTGCACTTGGGGACCACATCTGAGCGGGACGGAGGAGAAGTCTTGCACAGACTACCAGGGCAGCAAAGCTCCTGGGTGCAAACAGACTTTGCAGGGCAGGGTCGCAGAAGCCGTTCGCACTGCACAGACACCCAAGTGGTGACGCCTGCCAAGGCCACCAGTGCCGGTGGTGGAAGTGCCACCAGCACACGCTGGTGTCTCCCTTCCAGGTGCAGACACACGGATGCTGTCTGTAGCTCATCTTGGGTTCCTACCAACTGAAAATATGCTCAGATGTCTCCATCTTGAAAGAGACAATATTAGTTGCCTCTCAGGTACACTCATTTCAAACA